CTTTCTTTCTTTCTTTCTTTCTTTCTTTCTTTCTTTCTTTCTTCTTTTCCTTCCTTCCTTCCTTCTCTTCCTTCCTTTCTTCTTTCTTTTCCTTCCTTCCTTCCTTTCTCCTCTCCTTTTGTCACTTGTTCTCCCTTCTTCAAATTAGGCAAAAATCTTTCTTTCTTTCTTTCTTTCTTTCTTTCTTTCTTTCTTTCTTTCTTTCTTTCTTTCTTTCTTTCTTTCTTTCTTTCTTTCTTTCTTTCTTTCTTTCTTTCTTTCTTCCTCTCTTTTTCTTTTCTTTTTTGCTATTTCAAATGGTCAGGTTCTTTAGAACTGGTAGCACCCAGATTGAAATAACACAAGTTAAAAAAAAAAAAAGATGTTACTCTTCAAGAATAGGATTGGCGTGTTTGAAGTGCCCTTTTAAGCAAACAAGGATCCAAAAATGGAAGCTTCACGTTGAAATCTTAAATTTCGACAGGTTTATTTCCATCAGCTCCATTCCTGCCTGCTTTTAGAATTTCAGTAGGGAAAAGGAGAGGAGCGTGCGAAAGGGTCATAGTTAATAACATTTTTACAAATCTTTCTTGGAAATGCATAACTGAGAACCACAATTATATGGTTTTTAAAAAGTGGTAATCAGAAGAATTAAAGTGGGTTTAGGAGAGAAATCGCATAATGGAGTGTTAGTAGTGTTTTAAAAGGTAAAGATTTGTTTGAGTTGACTTGACGAATGTGGATAAGTCTGTGCCGCTTGCTAGGCATCAAAATGGAAATTATTTAATGTTTCCTTTTCCTTTCCTCACAACCCCTGTCTCCCATCCAAGTACTAACCAAGCCTGACTCTGCTTAGCTTTTTGAAGTTCAGCCACAACTATCTATGTTCTATGTGAACCCATTGGGTAATAAATAGGATTGTATCTAGCACAACGTATTTCCCAGTAAAGTGTTTAAGGTTGCAAACTTAAGTTCGTTATATTGTGTTATTTCTTTGGAAGGACGGGCTTATGTTTTTTTTTTTCTAACTGAGTTTGTGGGCTTGTGAGAGTTTGTTTTCTAACCTTTTTGAGTTTGTTGATTTGCTTGATCGGTCTGCTGAAAATTTCTTACGTTTCTTTCTAAAGATCAGCCTTCTTTGGCCTGAAAACTGGGTCGTTGTTTTGTTTTTTAAATCCCATTATTACCATGGAAATGTAAAATAAAAATCCTAATTTTAGTTAGGACTTTGCGATTAAGGCAGCCCTCCGTAGAGTCCAATTTCTCGTTAAAATGCTGAAGGATAATTTGGGTGCCTTTTGTTAACATTTTCCCTTCGACCTTGAAGGTCATTGAATGTTTTGAGACAGACAAAAAAACACATATTGAGTTTCTTCATTAGAGAGGCAGAATAAAATACCACTAGTCCTCTGCTTACGATAGTTTGTTTAGTGAAGGTTCAAAGGTTAGAACTTATGACCATTTTTCACACTTACAACTGTTGTAACAACACCAGGGGGATTCGGACACTTGACAACAAATTCACGTTTATGACAGTTGCAGTGTCCCCTAGATCATAGAATAACAAGAGTTGGAAGGGACCTTGGAGGTCATCTTGTCCAACCCCCTGTTCAAGCAGGAGAGTCTATTCCAAATATTAGCCTCTACCTAGGATCGAACTCACAACCCTCCTGATTGTGAGGTGAGAGCTCTACTATACCTCTAGGCAACCAGAGCCCTGGGTTCACGTCATCCCCTTTTGCAAGTCAAGGGTTCACTTAACAACCAACTTAACAACTGCAGTGATTCCCTTAACAACGGTGGCAAGAAAAGTCATAAAATGAGACAGAGTTCGCTTCAATGCCTCGCTTAGCAACAGAAATGTTGGGCTTGTCAGATGTGGTTCCATTCAAAATCCAAGAAAGAAAAACTTAGGCTCCATTTAAAATGGAGAAAAGGACTTTTACTGAATACACCCCCCAACAGTTCAAATTGGACATCCAATCTGAGGTGTGGATAATGTCATGTGGGTACATCTTCAGGTGGCATTTCACATATCTGGTATGCTAAGATGGTCAACTTTGGCCAAGGAAAGATAAGTGGCTGCATTTGCCCAGTAAGCAGGAAATAATCCCAAGTTTTACAATTCACACAACTTCAACCTCCAGCACCCTCCCCCCCCCCCCCGCTCCCCACGAAACCCAATTATTCCTCCCCCTCCCCATTTCTCTGGCATCTGGAAAGAGTCAAGTGGAAGAAGAAATCTTGGAGGCTGACAGGACTCGACTATGGTCGTAAGTCGAAAACGAACGTTCTGTTTTAGAGTTCAGATTCTGCTCGTTAGCAAAACCGATGCACTTTCCTTTTCCATCTTAGGAGCTTTCATTTTTTTTATGTGCTGCAATTTTAGTAGCTCCAAATCAGGTGCGCTTGACATGATCAAATGTCAAGATTAAAACAAAAAATGAAGGAAAAAGAAGAAGCTTAGCCATTTTGTTTTATTCTTTTACAGTGTTTAAACCAGTAATTGAAAAAATGGCAGAGCTCTCTATAGTAATTGGAGAACAGTTAAGCTCTGATTGCATTGTAACATAATCGAAGATCGTAGTCTTATTTTTAGAGAGATATCTTTGATATTAGCGTAACTCTTATCCTGCAGGAAGTTGTCCCATGACTAGTTGGCCATGGCAAGTTGGCCGTGAAAAGTTGGCTCTAGCAAGTTGGCCGTGACAAGTGGGCCATGATGAATTGGCCATGACAAGTTGGCCTTGGTGAGTTGATCATGATGAGTTAACTGGCCATGATATGTTGGCCTTGGTGAGTTGACCACGATGTGTTGGCCATGATAAGTTGGTCATGGTGAGTTGACCACGGTGAATTGGCTAATGGAATAGGAAAATGGAGGATGTCCACAAGTGAGGGGAGAAATCTTGGACCCTGTTCTGATATTATGAGTGAAATGATGGTTACCCCATGCTGTTTGTCTAGGGCAGCCTTGTTTACTGATCAGTTACACCTGTGCAGGTATGCCAAAAACCTCCTGAAGCAACGTTTATTTGTAGAGAGCAACTGAAGCGAGGGCGTGATTGTTGCTGTTTTTGTAGTGGAAACCAGCTTCCTTTGAGTAATTTAATGTATAAGTATGTTCACAAACATGACAACGCTCACCCATGTGTTGGCTTACTCCTTCTAAGAGGAAGCTCTGGGTTTCCTCAATGGTACGACTTGTATTCCTAGGTCAAAGGAGGTGCTGTAAGAAAACGGTGGTGGAAAGCTTGAAGGTTGAAAAACTTGATGAGCACTTCAATTCTTGTCATCAAGACCTGAAGCTTAACTCCACTTAAGGCAACAAAAGTCTGGAGTCACCTAATTACTCAATTAAATGAGGGTGTCATCCACCTATCTCCCCTGTTTATTTAAAGCCAGTGTGAACAATGGAGAACCACACTATCCCCCCCCCCCCCCGTGGCTGAAGACCATATTGATATACGGGTAGTCCTCGACTTAACGACCGCAGTTGTTAAGTTGTTAACAGAAATTTCTGTTGCTAAGTGAACCATTTATTAAGTGAGGTTTGCCCCACTTTTCTTGCCACTGTTGTTAACTGAGTTGTTAAGTTGTTAAGGTCGTAGCACGATTGTCTCCCTAGGCT